CCCCAAACATACATTTAGTTACATGGCAGTGATAGGACAAAAAGAGAAAGTCAGGGTAAGAGTTAAGAATTTCACTGATGAAATTCCAATACTATAAGATTATAATTTCTTTTATCCTGATAGTATTCTAAACCTAATATACCTATAGTTAACTTTTATCATCACTGTTCATAAAGTAAAATCTCCTTCCAGACTGACCAAGGTTAAAGCTTCGAGGTAGGGAGTGAACTGCTCACTCCCAGCATCTGACATAGGTGCCCACATCAGGCAGCGTCCAGGCCCCTTCAAGACCTTTATCTAATTCTTTATGTGTAAATTTATGTTCTTTTTCTTTAAAAAGTTGCCCTGAATTTTGAAAGTGTTACTCTTAGCAAACCCTGGGGCCCTGCTGGTTTTTCAGAAATGCTGAAATAGCTCCAGTTGTTAGAATAGTGGACATAGCTGCAATGTGCATCTTTTTGAGGACAGGAAAGTCTGAGATGGCTAGAAGCTTAAAAAAAAAAAAATTAGCCTGCTGCATTTCTTCTCTGGAAAGTCTTGACCACAGTATTATTTTACTTTCTTTGTCTTATTTCTTTGTCTTATGACTGTAAATATTATATATGTTGTTCTAGACATTATTATTCAAGTCACGACTGTATGGTGTTGTGAGGGTGAGAACCGGAATCTAGTCCAATCTCTGGTTTTCCAAACCTCCAAAAGTGGGCGGAATGAGAAGGACCTGGCTCTGCAGTAAGCTACATGTTCCTTAACGTCGTTCATTGTCATGTTTTCAATGCTTTTACACTTAGATGTCATGGGGCAATAACCAAATGATTGTTATACTCTCAGTTGAGAAATGTAATACTGTTTAAGAAAATTCTTTCTTAGGTTTACTGTTCTCTGACATTGATTTTAATGTAGTTTTTTTGTACTACTAAGAAGGAAGTTTACTTTTTTAATTTATCATGAAATGATATTCGTACACATTTATGGGGTACATGAGATATTTTGGTACATGCACAGACTGTAATGATCCACTCAGGGTATTTGGGTGTCCATTACCTTGAGAATTTATCATTGCTCTGTATTGGGAGCATTGCAGGTCCTCTTTTCAAGCTAATATGAAATACACAATACACTGTTGTTAACTATAGTCACTTTCCTCTGGTAACAAACATTGGA